GCGGAATGACACAGTGGAGGTGTGCTGTGCACACCAGGTGAGAAGGTGGCCCAGGAGAGCTCACAGGCAGGACAGGGCAGGGATGGGGAGGCAAAGCAGGCCATTATTTGTTCTTCCAGTCCCCAGAGATGCACGTACCTGCCGTGCACTTTGGCTGACCTCAGCTTCCCATTTCCCACAGCAAAGCCTGTTCCCAGCTTCTCTGGGAAGGACATCTGTGGGGACGGTTCCTGTTTCCCTGCCCTTTCAGCCACTTGTCTTCCTGAGCCTGATATGATTGTTTCTTTGGGCACAGTGTAAAAGATGCCAGCAAGGAACGGAAGCCTCTCATGCCTCAGCAATTTATTAAGAAGAAAAGGAGGTTATTGAACTTGGAAGCTGTTGAGCCAGTCGTTCTCTTTTCCTGATCAAGAAGATAACCTGTCCACAGATAAATCATCCATCCAAAGGTCTTCAGCATTCACTGAGACAACCTGGCCTCAAACTAGTAAACAGCCAGGTGAAGGGAGTCAGGGATTATTTATGTACAGACCTGCCAGAAAATATAGGTTGTAGGGTGGAAGGGCTTCTCCAGTTTGGAGAAGCCTGGGTTGGTTTTTTTGTTGACTACTTCCAGCAAACTCCAATTCTCTGCAGTCCTGTTCCTGTTCAGCGAATATGATATTCTTAAGATCAATATGGTTTAAAGCATTTCAAGATCCTTTTAAAGAAAGCATTAAGAGTCTTTGGGGGTTCTCTGTCAGACTTGGTAGAACTTTCAGCAGCTGCTTCTGTGGTAAGTTCCGCCTTGGTGTAGCAACTCATGAATAGTCTTCCACTTGCCCCGTGCTACGAGGCCCCATTCTTGTCTGATGGTTAAATACCACCAAAATGAAAGCAGCTATTATTATAGGTAATTTCTCAGAAAAACACAGGCATGTATTTTAATGGCCTGCATCTCTCTAGTCCCTGAAGCTCTGAAGTGAGGACGCGAGCTCTAATATTTCTGTTTCCCTCCCTGCTTTGGCCCAGTGTGCAGCAGGTTTGGTGGGTTTCTACTCCCCCTGACCGGTGCTGGGTTTATGCAGCGGCAGCCCTGGCTCTGCCTTTCAAAAAAAGGGTGCCCTCCTTTACAGAAGGACAGCACAGAAGTCAAGTCCATTCCAACCCATCCTCCTTAGCCATACACAACTGTGGCATTCCTTTCCATTTTATATTCAACAAGGCTTTGCCTGCCCAGGGGACCACAGCTATAAGACATTGGAAAAGATGTTGGGATGGTTTGTACAACTGAACATTAAAATCAAAGGCTGTAGCCCCAAGAGAGACTGAGAGGGCAGAAATGGGGTAAAAATAAGAAGTTTTACTTACTAGCTTGTTTGTAACTTTGAATGGTAACTTCCTGCTTATCAATATTGAATCTTTGTGAGTCAGTGTTCCAGCAACTGGATTGGTGATTTGGGTCTGCAATGGATAACCAAGCAACACTGGAATATGGCAGCACTGGTTACTTGAGCACTCACCAAGGGAAAAACAAACACAAGCTATTGCTTAATTTAACCCACAGTGATGTTGCTGACTCAAAAACAGCCTTGGAGATTTTTAAATGTTCTAAACAGCTTCCTCATTTTTCAAATCTTAAATCCAAAACGAACAAAACCTGTGTTTTACCTTCTCTGGTGGCAGAGATGAGAGGCTGGTAGCAGGTTTACTGATCCCCACGCAACTCCACTGTTACATGAAAGCAGAAGAAGGTTCAAACTGGTAACACTTTGAAAGACATGATGCTGTAAGAAGTCTTGTTTCCCAGCCTTGAGTAGAATTCTGGGCAAAATCAACACGAATAAAGGATTTAAATAAGAAAATATAAATAATCATTGAGAACTGCTTAAAAATGTTTTACTAGGAACCAAAAATACACAACTCCCCAGTAAAGAAAGAATAGTGCACTTGAAAAAAACCAACCAGATTAAAAATCGAAATGGGGGTGGCTTAAGTAAGTAAAACACATTTAACAAATAGTAAGAGAGATGTTGAATATAAATTAGGAGATAGGAATTCTAAAAAAGATACGATGGAAGTGAAAAGGAAAAAAAAAAACTGACAAAGCTATTTTTTAAAAAAGTAAATTAAGGACAAAATTAGTCCTAATCATGGTATTGATCTGTTATATGATAGAAATCTTAGATTATTCAATAATAATGCAGACAACAAAAAAATAAATCAGTAAATACTTCTATCCTACTGCTGGGGGAAAAAGGTTGATAAAGACTTTGTTGGTGACATATCTATTCTTGCTGTATCTCAGAGGAGTTAAATATCACCTACTGAAATCAGGCATTTTAAATCAGCAGGACTGGATACCTTGCACTAAAACTTGGTTTAATAAATAAGCTGCACATGATATGTCTGCACTATTCATGGTGATCTTCTGTACTTCTTGGTGCAATGGGGAAGTCCTGGCAGAGAAGAAGAAAACTCATAGTCTGGCCTTTTTTATAAAGACTGTGTAGAAGGGCATAATTACTTTATAATTAGCTCCTAACTGTAATTACTCACAGGTAACTACAGACCTGTGATAGGATCTCAGACTTGAACTAAATAATTGGGTGGCTATCACAGAACACAGGGAATAAAAGGAGGGAAATATAACTAGGGGCAATCGATGTGGGTTTATAGAAAATTCACCCCATTGAACGGTGTTAAAACTTTTCTCTGAGGAAATTTAACCATTGTTAAATAAAACAAAGCTGGTACAATACATATACTTGAGATCCTGGAAGGCAGTTTCCCTTCTGTTACATGGCATTATGATTAAAGAACTTGCTTGACATAAAAATAAGACAGCAGCCATTAAACAGACTATAAATGACCTATCAGTCTGGTTCCAAAACACAACTGAGAACTAGAAGTGATTAGGGTTTTTAATAGCATGTTTGTACAAAGATCCTGAAGGGTATTTGGCATCTTAGGGGTGAGAGGTAGAGATGTCAGTCCTGCCTGGTTTATTCTCCAATTTTTATGAAAGCCCTCCTCTATTTCAAAAGCTCCCTATTATGTGCTCTCCATGACCCATAAATCATCAAATTAGAAAAAGAATGCTTTTTTTCTGGTTCAAAAGCAAGCTTACCTTAATGACCACCTGAATGAATGGCCAGCTTGAATGAAGAAGGTAAGAAACCCCAGAACTGTCTTCTTACCTTGTACATATCACATGAGATCTTAGATCTACACGTGGGCTGCTAGTATGCAATTTGAAGGACTTAAATCTGCCCATTTCTAGTCCAGCTGCCAAAAATAATTTATGATCTGTGAGGTGGCCCAGAAAGCAGTGTCACGAGTGGCAATGTACTGCATCATCCTGAGGATTCTTGCTCATGCGTTTCAAAAGCTGGTCCCATCTATGAGCAATGTCTCAGCCCTCGAGTCCTGGAAAGATATTGCCTATCTTTGCTGTCCATATAAGGGAAGAGGTTTGAAGGACACAGGCAAGGCCATGAGAGGAAATGTGAAGTGAGAAGACTAGAATGAGAACAGCAAAGAACATTCAGGAGAAAACAAAGGAATAAACAAACTGCCAGAGCACAATCCACGTGCCAAAGGACAGCCCACAGATGAACACAGATCCTGCCTCCTTCGAGCTTAACACAGGTGGTGAAACTACGAAGACTTATGAACAACCATCCACCAACCATGTACTTGAAAGAGACACCCAAAAATACAGAGACTCCTGAAAATTCCCCAGATGCTATTTGTTGCATACATGGTCATGCCTGTCAAAAGCCATGTCACTGTTCTACAAATTTTAATTCAGCTGGAAACAGACACTTGCATGAACAGGTCTCCCTGATGCCAAAGACTTTAGTCCCTGGTGAATCTTAGATGTGAAAGGTTGGAACCATTCCATTTCCTGCAAACAAGTCCAGTGCTGTTTCTCTACCTTTGAATGTGTTGCCTATCCTGCCAAAGCATGGAAAACCTGGAACTGCCTTAGAAACATCTGTCCTGGGAAATGAAAGGCTGCCTAGGAATGAAGGAAAGGTTCTTTATTTCTTCTTTTCAAGAAATGGTGCCTGGGCTTGCCTGGGCAGAAAGGTCTTATTCATGGAACAACAGAACAAAATAAATAATGTAGGTTTTCTGATAGTGCAGGGAAGAGGACAGGCTCAGGCTGAGACTTCTAGAGGCAGCATTTAATCTGGACTGTGTGCCCTAGAGAGAAGATAAAGACTACCACAGGAGGAGATCTGTCAAACTGCCAAGAGATTCTGATGATCCAGGCCTGACTATTCCTTTTAGACAAGGTATTTAGCAAAAGTAAAGATGGTTGTAGGCAGACCATGCATCCCTGACCCATGGAAAACACTTTTTGGGAACGATTTTTATCCGGGCAGCAAGGCCTTAATGCAGCAGGAACCGAGAGTTCTTTTTGACTCATTAACTCAGCTGTTTTGCACAGCAATAAACCCTAGATAAGGAAATAGCCAAGAGCAGCACAGGCTGCCAGAGAGGGGTGGGGTAGAGCAGAGGTCGCTGCTTTGGTTCCTCACAAAACCTCTCACCCCTCACAACTAGATACCCACCTCAGTGGCACAGGTCACCCATGAGCACAGGCAGCGCTGGTACCAGTGGAAACAAACCCAGGGAACGTGGTCATGGCATATTTCTGGCAAGAGCCATCAAAGCCAAGAGCTGTGAGGACTGGAAAGTCTCCTGGGGCCCGAGTGTGCGAGCACGGCCACCCCGACCATGTGCTGGCTTGCAGTGATAACATTGTGTGCTGAGGTTGGCACACAATCCAGGTGAAGTCACAAGAGGAAAAGCTTCCCACCCGGGCACAGCCTCAGCAGCCACATCCACAGATCCTCCCCTGCTTGCCCTCCCTCACCACGCTCCACCCAGCCAGCTCTCCTGGCCACAGGGGACACGCTGCCCTGCCTGGCTTTCTTCCACTGGGTCGGGGCAGGGCTGGCTCACAAGTGGCCATTGTGTTTCCTAGGAAGTGCTGTTACAGCAAGTACCTGGTCACTCTGGCTGCGTGCAAAGGCTCAGAGTCTCTGCTGGCACCTCTTGACATCCCAACCTCCATCTGCACCAGCGCTCATCCTTCCAGTGCTGTTCTCAGGAAGTTTCATTGCGCCTCAGATTCTTCCACATGCACAGTCTCGGCCTCTGTCAAACTTTAAGTCTGTGGGGAATAAGGTAAGAAATGAAGCAAAACCCCGGCATCAAGGGAATACAGTTTTTTCACACACACAAAAAAAATGTTCATTGAGATAGCAGAAAGAAAAACTCTTTCTAGTTTGGTTCAGAAATATAGGAGAGTAACTGTTCAAGGTTTAAAGTTTGAAATAGATGAAAAAGCCACAGGTGATGGTATGTATAACGAATGTCTTGCCTTGCCAGAGGAGAATTAAAGCATGATAAATTATGATTTACCATCTCTTATCTCTGAGCACCTCAGTGGACAACTAATAAAGCCTCATTTACTTCGGGATATCACTGCAGCACAATCCAACAAAAAGGTGAACCAAACACTGTGAGCTCAGGTGAGAGCTCTGCATCTAGCCCATGCCCTCTTCTCACGGCAAAGATTGTGCCTGGTTGGTCCTGTCAGGGAATCTTGACTTCTCCCACCCTGTACAATTCTCAGCCTCATAGTTACCCAAAGCTATGAGCCAACATTTGACTGTAATGCCAGAAAGAACCGGCCCGATCATCCAGACCCACATATTTGAAAACCTGAGTCAGAAGACTTGGCAGAAATCCTTCCCATCTCTACAAGGGTCCACTTTCTGACAAGAATTCAGCCACAACTTAAAAGCCTCCTGTGGAAGATCCTCCAAAACCCTCACTGAGATTTTCCATTGGTTAGTTACAGATGATGTTAAAAAATAATGCTTTTCCTCATATCATTTTTTGGGCTTTTTACCCAGTTTCACATTCCAGTTTTTGGATCTTAGTGCCCTCCAGCTAGACCACAGAAAGTTTGTTCCCCATGTATGCATATCTAGATACAGGAAAAAGTTAGCCTTCAGCTTTCCCTTTTCACTCTATCTCTTCAACCTCTTTCACTGGAAGACACATTTCCAATTCTTTAGTACCCTCAGGCATTTTCCCTGGAACCTCTTCCATCCAGGAATCACCAACAAAAGCACCAAATAGAGTACACGGGAAGTGACTGTGTTAGTACAAGTGACACACACACTCAGCCCTTCCCAGAGCTATTCAGATTAAACTTATTTACTGAAAGCTGCGTGAGTTCCCTCAGCTACAGCATCATCCTGGAATTTTGTGTAGTCAGCCAGTGAGCTGTACCAGCCCCCACTTTTTCCCGTCACTGCTTCCCGAGAAAAAACTTGCCAGCTGATAAGCACAGCCTGTATTCCTTATTCTTTGACATGTGCCTTAGAGCAGCTAATGTTATACTTGGCCCCATCTGTCTGAGTGATCCGGACTATTGCAGTAATGTGGTGAGGGGGCTTTGGGTCTTTTGTTTTTGTTTTGTGTTTTGCTTGGTTGGTTTTTTTTGCAGCCCACTGATTTTTGAGTCACTCCTACTGGTCATTTACCATTTTGCTGTCTTTCAGACCACTGATAGTAGAGTTCAGTAGTATACAGCCACAAATGACCAACTTTACAATGTTTATTCCCCCTTGCAGCTACACATCTCCATCCATTTGGAGGACAGGCACATTCCCTGTAAAGTTCTAATGTCTGCATTGCAAAAAGCAGCAACAACAAAAATCTCTAGAAGCACTATACCAGCACCATGTACTCCTGGCTCGGTCTACCTTGAGTAATTTGATGATAAGAGCTTTAAATAAAGTTAACATTTGATACATGTTTCTGAGGGCCTTACCACAGGCAGACCCCTGATTAGAAAACAGGAGTCTTCCTCTCTGGCTGGGACAAAACCAAGCTTAAGCACACACTTAGCTTCATCCTGTGCCAGAAGAGCCAGTCTCAATGCACACTAAAATACAGGCTTGTTCCTTGTGCTTTCTGGGCACCAGGAAGATGCAAAATGTGCAACAAGGAAGGTTAAGGAGGAGGTTAAACAGCCAAAGCTTTTCTTTACACTCTTGTAAACTCAAAACTCTATGCACATCTTCTTTTCAGTTGTTAAATACACAAACATGGGATGGCATTCCCATGCCTGGTTGCCTCAGGGGCAGTATACAAATCACAAATAAGCAAATATATGGATTCCTTGACTTCCAAGGGATTTTTGAAGATTAACTACTTAACCCCTAATTACACTGACACTGGCTGCCTAATGAATGAGGTGTGGGCAACACCCTTGGCTGGTAAGATTCATGATGAAAAAAAAGGTGGGTTATTTCATCCCAGGGAGGAGAAAGGCTCATGGATCTGGCATCTTATTGTGCAGATTTCCCATTTGGGACAGAGTCCCACAGTCTGTATCTACGGGAATGTCCGAACTCCCACATTTTACTGTAGCATCACTGTACGAGGTGTGAAGTCCAGTGGCTTTGCTCAGTGTAAACAATGGGTCTAGGCACTTTCCTGGGACAGGAAATGGGACAGGCACTTTCCCCCACTGTCATAGCTGATGAATGTGAGAACAACCTACCTCCTAGAAGATTTCACTTTAACTGTGAGGGTTCCCTGCATCATCCAAGCAGTTTGCCCATCCTTGGCAGACCACACACCAGAGAGGGAGAAGGTGGCACACTCCAGGCTGCTCGGGTTTGATGTTTCTGACTGGAGGCAGAGATGTGGTTATAGGGTGAGGCAGTAGTCACTGTTGCTGGGAAACACCAGCCTTTGCAATGTACTAATGGATACGAAATTTTAGCAACTTTCACTTCAGTCCCCTGACTAGGATCAGGCAGTACAGAGGAGTGTCTTACAGGTACTTCCAAAACATCAACACCCTGCATGCTCTGCACCCCAAGGAATGGCTGTGGCCTGTGGTGAGAGATCCATTCAGATTTTTAGTGCAAAGAGTCTAAATGCCAACAGCTTCAGAAACACAAGCTGCTGTAGTGTTGTGTTCAAGATAGCAAGAGAGGAGAGGATAAACACAGCATCCATGACTACTGCATGTGGCACTTGCCCTGTGATCCATGAAGTAAAATAGCAAATACATTCCTTTGGTCATATCAACCTTCACTTTACTTTTGGGAATACAGGCTTACTCAGAAATCTGATACAGAGGAGCCAGATCATGCTAGAGCCACAGCACCTCCCCCTAGAACTCAGCATAGTTATGTGGGTGATAAATTCTGCTCTCACTGACTTTGTAGAGAGCAGCAGGACTTGGGGACCCACCATTTGTGTACTTGCCTCCACAGAGTCCCTTAGCCTGGCTTGCTGAAAAAATGCAGTGTTTATGGAGTGTATTCAATGGTTGAGCCACTTCTCCATTGTACAAAACAATAGCAATAGTTCTTTCATTCTTCCTTTTTCCTGCTTTCTTTTTGTTTTGACTCCTTCCCCTTTCTGTCTCCCTCTGCTTCAGCTTGACAAGGCTTTCACTTCTTTACCCCATGACTGCCTTCAATACCATCTTCCTGAATGATCTACACCAGTAGCACTGGACACTTCTGTCCCCCCTGACTGATGGGCTTCATCCTCCTCACAAAGGCATCTCCCAGTAGTATTAGGCCTGCAGAGAAAAGCAGACATCTCCTGACTACCGTTAGATCTTTATTGTTCCTACAGGAAGGGCCTGTTTATAGCCTGGAGCTTGCAAAGGCTTATGGAATTCGAAATGCCTTCTCCTTCCATTTTGAGGGCAAGCAGCTGAAGAGACCAGGGATCCTGCCTCTCCTCACAAATATCTTGGCATTCCAGATACTGGCCTTACCTTTAGATCCTGCAGCTCAGCAAATGTGCTATCATATATCCCAGAGTTCACCCAGCCTGTGCAACCCGAGAGGCCACCTATATGGGAGGGGGTGATTAATGTCTGGGAACGGATGGGAGGTGACCTTCCACAGAGCCGGGATATATTTTTGGGAGGGCAAGGCAAAGTCAGAAAGGCTTACTAAACTCTTTGATCCTTTAAGCTCCCGGTAACCAAATAACCACCAGTATCCTTTCCATAAAATAAACCCATTTATTCTTAGCTACATGAATTCCCATCCCCGCTTCTGCAACACTAGCATCTACTCCTAAACTGCATCTTTCCTCCCAGCTACCCCATCATCCCTCAACAGTTCCAGTAACCCATTCCCCAGATGCTCTCCTTTTCCTGACTGGGAACATATCATGCACCTTGCTTGCTGCACCCTTCCCTCACCCTCCACAGCATTCCAATCTCTTGACATGAACAACCAATAGGCCACGCTTTGAGAACTGCCACTTCTAAGCCCTCCACACAAAAAAAAAAGGTAATAGAATCTACTTAATTCATGGATTTTTCATAGCTACTCTCATTCCCCTGACAGCTGTACAGTTGTTACATTCACATCTGCTGCTGCTAACTAGCCTCATTTTTAGCAAAGCACAGCAGGCGCTACAGAAATCTAAGTCTGGTAACATCATAACACCAGAATTGTTCCCCCACTTTCATTAACTCCATGCTCTGTTTTGGTTTTTTTTTAATTTTCTCTATTCATTTTTCCTTCTCCTCCTTTCTGTTTTGCTGGCATGGTGAACTGTTTCACTGGGTCAGCAGCAAACAGGAGCTGCTGGAGTGCAGGAGCAGCTCAGCTGGTTGGTCACATCCCCTCATTGCTGCCCACTGGGCAGAGAGTGGAGGTGGCTGGCACTGGGTGCCTCAGAATAGCACCAGCAAATACCAGCACCCTAAAGGGATGCCACATAGGATGTCCATGGGAAAACAGTGGCCAGGAGCATGACTTGGTAAGGGCATGACTTCATAAGGACATTGATATTTCACACCAGTCTGTAGCATGTGTATCCCCCTGAAAAATGGGACTTACCACTTTGCTGTCTTTCCTGGTCTAAGTACTTAATGCAGGGAGAGGGGGTTGTCATAAAGCACTCCAGGAAAAGAAAAAAAACCAAAACACACACACACATAAAAGGTAAAAAAATAGTAAGTCAAGACAGTGGTGATGTGGCCCAGCAGGTCACTAATTAGGATATTTCACTAGAATGTGGGAAAAAAAATAAGAAAAAAGTCAAGTTCAACACTTTCTCTATTTGACCTCAAGTGCTGGGGCAAATAGCTCTGGCCTTCAGGCTGGAGCACATTCTAGAACAAAATTCACTCAAACCTGACAAGGAAGCTCTCTAAAATTTCAAAGAGCAATAACCAGACTGTTAGATAAAGCACAAATGTAAAGTCTTGGTCTTCCATGGGCAGATTACCAAAGGGACATAATGGAAGCACAGTCCCACTGTCTACCACCCCGACAGCTTAGCCCACCATTACATACATTTTATTTCACATGCTCTGCTGATTCACGGAGCAAACTTCAATATCAGAGCTGCTGCCATCTCCACAAACAGTGGATTTCAGAGATGAGGGGGCTAGGTGCTGTTTCCCAAGAAAAGGAGGAAGTTAAATCTTTCCCAAGGTGCTGTTTCTTCCAAGAAAAGGAGGAAGTTAAATCTGGTCATTTACCTCCTTGTCTTAGACCCTGGCCACATCACTTAACCTTCTCCAGCAGTTCTTATGCACCAATTGATCTCTTATATCTTCTCTGAAAACCTGCAGGACATCAGGCCCTGACAGAGGGATAGGCAGAGGGACAGCTTGCTCTAGATACCAAGCCCCTCAGGCTGTTACCAAAGGCAGATTTTGGGAACATTACTGTCAGAGTTCCAGGGTGGGGTGGCATCAGCAGTGCTGGGAACCTAAGCCCTGGTCTCAAAGATCTAACTGGTACACAAACACCTTAATATTCCCTTGCCTAACTCCTAGGTGGGCAGACAAACAGTATTCATGTCATACATAAGGAGGGTTAGGTATTCACTGTCTTCAAGGTGTTGTGCTCCTGATCCTGCCTAGTATGAACAGGGTCAAGGAAAAAAACAAAACCAAAAGTTGAAGTGCTGGAAAGTAAAATCTGAAGGCTTGGAAAGAGGCATAAAGGTGAGTGACAGTGGTTAAACACCACTCAAGAAGATTGGAAGTGGGAGGGGGTAGCAGATAGTTGTGAGATGGGGACATACAGAGTCCCCATGGAGAGATTGAGACCTGATGGCACAGCCACAGAAGGAATATGAAGGTAAAGAGTAAGGCAACAGGACCCGGGAAGCAGGAGGCTGGGGACTGCAAGCAGCAGTGCACTAACTGAGGACAACTGAGCTTTCCAATTGGAGAGTGTAGGCAAAAAGTCAGGTTTTAGAGGCAAAAACGGTGAGATTTTACAGGTCCATACGGAAGAACAGAGCTTGGATACAGCAAAATGTGGGGTAATCTGGATGTCACTGTCAGGGAGAACAGCGGGAGCGCTGGGGGTGAGGAAGAGGGGTGGTCTTGGGAAGAGGCCTGGGTTTCCCACACAGAGTTCCAGATGTTGGTAGGGGATGATGGAAGACTGGAGAAATGGGGAGACACTGAAACAAAGAGATGGTAGTACAAGATGTTGGACAGAAACAAAAGAAAGCAGAAGAGGAGAACAGTTCAAAAGCACAGGAAAGACCAAAGTTGGCAGGTAAAAAGTAAGAGACTCCTAAAGGTGACTAGGGCAACACTATATATTCCTGTGAGAACAGCTTTTGGATTATGATGTTGAAAATAAACTTTGAGGTATCCCAGCAAGTACTGGAGAGTAAAAACTTGGCAAAGATAATGTGATTCAGGGAGTGCAGAAGGAATTTATTTCATTCTGCAAGTTTGCAGCATGTGGAAGTGATTACAGGGGTGATTGCAAGACTGGTGTTATATAAGAGATACAGGATAATAACATTGAATGAATAACATAGTACTGACTAGAGCTGTAGCCCAGGAAAAAAGAATATGCTGAGAGCTGCATGAGCCTATTTTCGGAATAAAATGTAAAAGGAAAACAGCAAGTCAGATTGAAACTTTTCATTGATTTCACTGCACATTTCTCTTGTTAACTATAACTCCTTCCTCTAAAGAAGTCTCTTGTTTCACCTTTAGGACCAGTGAAGTTTCCCTTTTGGACCAGTGAAGTCAAATCTTCAGCCATGAAAAAAAGTGCAGGACTTTGACCCCAGGTTCTTTGATTAAAAAAAAAAAAATCTAGAAGTTTTTCTCCAGCAAGGAATTTTAGCATCATCGATTTTCTCTCTAATTCAGGAAGATGGACGTTAAGTCTAAGATCCTTTAAAAAAAAAAATTCTTAAACATCCAAATTTCTCACTCAGAAGGAAAATTCTTCTTTCCAGCCAATTCTATGTCAAGTTTCCTTATTCTCCTGTAGTGGCAAGATACTGTACACCAGTTTGGTACCAGCTACATTTTCCAAAAATTACATACCTGCTCAGTTGTTGCTTATGGTTTTATATTCAGGGATCCTTAGAGTTCAAACTCGTAAAGAGGACTCTTCCAAGTGTTTCTCTGCAAGCTGCTTGCCTATTAAAATAAATAAATAAATAAAAAATTAAAAACAGCTTTAAAATTTGCCATAGGCCTACAGGTAGGTAGCAGTTATATGTTGAAAAATAATAGCCTTTTTTAAAGATAATTAAGGTTTGTACCAGAACTACTTAGGTGCTTAAGAGACAAGACAGAGACATAAGTCATTACTGGAAAAAAAGAAAGGCAACAAAAAAACTGTGGATTCCTTCCCATTACCTTACCTCTATTGTTTGTGGCTCTGGGAACTAACATCCTGCAAGCCCTTCACGTGGCTTGGCATTCCCAAACCCGCTGGGTACAGAAAAGCCCTATTCCAACACAGAACTCACGTGCTGCCGTGCCGGTCACGCCAACACACCCGGTGTTCCACGCACCGTGGAGATCATCCCGCCCTCACCTCGCCCCGGGTCGGGGCTGTTCCTTTGTTACCTCGCTCTGGACCGAAGTCCCACACTGGCCTCTGTCTGCGGGAGGCTCAGCCCCCCATTCTCTGCAGCAGTTTTTCTGCAGAGCTGCCCGAGGAGATTACGGCGGCGATGGCATTTTATCGGCGCCGCTGCCGCGAGGTGAGCGCAGACACGATAAGGGAGCGCTAAAAGTCAACGAGGTGCCGCTGACAAGGGCCGAAGCCGGGCCCTCGCGTCCCCACCGACCGCGTGTCCGTGACACTGAGCAGCCCAGACACCTTCCCACCAGCTGCTGCCCTGGAACGCAGCACCTCTCACCCCCTCCCAGCAGGGCACAGCCTCCCGTCTGCGCAGCCCAGCTCATCCCCGCTGGAAGCTGCCGCAGCTTCAGGCCTGCAGGGAACGAATTTTTTCTTATGAAACATCCCCCCCCGGGTTCCCTAGTGAGCACTAAAGAGATTTTTTGCTGCTCAAACACGCTGATGGAGGTGTACCCTGGTTGTTTCGTTCCTCCCCACCGTTCCCTCCCAGAGAGGAAAGATCTGCTGCCTGAAGTGATGGCTTTTCCAGGCAAGCATCTCCACATGCTGCCTGGAGCAGAGCAGAGCCCCCAGCAGCATGCCAGGCATACGCCCCACAGAGATTGGCCCCCTGCACAGGCAAGCCCCAAGGCTTGGGAAAACTGCTGTGACTAACTGCTCGATTAGGACTTCAGCCTTCTTTACCTTCACCGAGTTTTCAGAGGAAGGTGAAGAAGTTGGTAAGAAATTTGTTTCTTTTGTGCAACCACAGTCCCTGAGCTGGAACCACAGAAGCAGTGCAGCCTTAGCCACATCACGGGCCAGTACGTGCTGTTAGAGCCAAAACATCCTGGCTCCATCCTTGCCATTGGGGATCACTAACTCCACATGGCAACAGCAGAGACAGCCCAAGTGGCCACAGGCTGATCGGAGTGTTTCAAAACAACCCGAAACTCAGGAACCTCCTCCACAACCTCCATCACAAGGATCCACACGTACCAAGGATGCTCCCACTGCTGAGGCCTGGTGGCTCCAGCAACACTGCTCTGGAGAGCAATCAACTCACCAGAGCACTCCTAACAGGTTCTGACACACAGCAACCCCCCACAACCATTGCAGTGAGCTAAAGGACTCCTTTATATTCCCGTGGGGCAGGTGTGGTTGTCTCAATTGTGCCCTTTCCCAGCTGATGCCAATGAAGTCCTTACCAGCAGCCTCAGCACAGAAGCCCAGGTTTGAAAGAAATGCTCAGTTCACCTCCAGGTAGTTCCTGTCTGTGTGAGGTTGAGTGTCTAACCAGGCAAGCTGCATCTTGCCAGTCCTCTGGCACCCTGAATTTACATTCATAGAGAGAGAAGAGTCACTTCTTCTTGGTGTGTGCTTGCTGAAAAACACCTCCTGAGATATCCATGACTACTGTTTCTGAGGCTTCATAAAGACACCAGGGGCAAAGAGAGTCTGTCCCAGCTCCTTGAGATCCGATACAAAAGCACATATCACCAATGCACCTTGCAAGCAGTAGGCAGCACAGGCAGAGCCTCCTGCTCGCTCCTGGGAGAGCAGGCACGTAGGATTTAGGGGTGAGATCTCGGTGTTGGGGCCAGGCCAGCCCTCCCCGTGCCGTGCCGTGCTTGCTTTGGCAGGCGCCGCTTCCTGTGCTGTGCAAAACACATCTGAGGCTCCCAGGAGACTAAAACACTCAGGGATATCGTTAAAGGGAGATGTTTCTTTCCCAGAAGAAAGAGATTTCCAGTACAGGAACTCTGTCTAAGGCCACTTGGATGTGGATGTTGCGCTGTTTATACTCACACAGTGGGAAGAGGCTTTGACAGTGTGTGTTATGTGCATTGCTGTAGGGATGTCTGAAAGCAGCAGTCAGAGGTTATGTGCTGTAAAGGCCCTGCTCAAATATCTTGTATTTCATCTGAAATGACTTCTCCATTGTCTGTAATTTCTGTTTCTCCCTCCACCCTCACCCCTCAGGACAAAGGCTTTGTCCGAAGACAGGAATGTGCCTCTGCCAAGTACCACACTGGGAACCTTGGGGGTCTGTCCTGCTTTGGATTCTTTTCTGTTATATTACTTTTTAAACACAGCCCTGCCTCCAGTCAGGGAAAAAAATGCAATCCCTGAACCAAAAGGTGCTGAAGAACAATGGGCAGGAGGCGCCCACAGAGGTGGGCCAGATGTGTATCATGAGGGCCTTCATGCCAACACATCCTTGGTGGCTCTGAACAGCCACAGATGCTCTGACCTACAAGAGAAGGCAGTTCAGCTGCCAGGTTCCCCTGGTGCCCTCTTTGCAGGGCACACAACTGCTGGGCCCTCCATCCTCCCCGACTCCAGACATGAGCAGGCCTGTAGGAGTAAGGGGAGCATCCTCCACCTGTGATCCTGACACCAGCTGGCCTTGATCCTTTACCCTATGGTGCTCCACAGCCTGTGAAATGAGCCTTTGCTGAGCAGGCTTTCTCCTCTTTGCCACTAGAAATGCAGAATTCTTCCAGAACTTCAGCACTTCTGGAAAGGTAAAGAAAAAAAAAATCTCCTCATGCTGGCACCTGACAGGCACCCCCGGTTGCTGATTCCTCTGTGGCACCAGTCCTCCATCATTTTAGTCGAGAGCCTAGCAAGTTCCTCACGGACCTAGCAAGTACTCCATGGACAGTCACTCAGTGTGTGCTCCCAGCCCCAGGCAAGACCAGCACACTCACCAGTCTGGCAGGCTTCCCCCCCAGCACTTTCACAAGCACTTGCCTACCTTGTTTGAGCTTCAGAGAGTTCAGTTTGGGGTGAAGGGTAGGTCAGCTCTTATCTCGTATCTACACGCGCAAATGTAACCCTCACCAGTTCCCTTCCCAGCTCCAAGAGTTCCTGCCCGGTGGCACAGTGAGGACTATGCTTTCCCCCTCTGCCGAGGCCTTTCAGCAGGACACAAGCAGTGCCAAAGAGCCATAAAGCTTTCCTGGGGACCCTGCAGCCTTGAGGAAAATCCTGGGGACATCTCTGACCTTTCTTCTCTGCAGCCTTTGGTGCAGGGCTCATGGTTGCGTGAAGGAGCAAAGCCACAGTTGCCCCTGCCTTGGTCTGGTCTGTTGAGAGCAACCCTGGGGTGATGCTCAGGGATGACAGGAGCCAAATGAAACCCCTAAACAGGATCCTGCAAGGATCTCACAATCCCCGTGGGATTCAGAGACTTCAGAAAGCCCCCCTGGCCCCGTTCTCCTTCTGGAAAATGCTTTTAGTGCAGCTGAAGCAGATTCAAGAGCTTGAGCTACAGGATCTTGCAGTTTGTTTAAGCAAATATCACTTTTGTCAATTTTCCAAATGTCTGTTCATGCACAGACTGTCTCAGCATCCTGCCAGGGCTCCAAACGTTCAGCTATGGAGAAATTTTCTGGAAACCTGTGCCTGCATCCCTGCCTTGCCTTCTGACCATTTTAAGACCAATCACATTAACATAAGCCCACGTGGAAATGTAGTTGTGAAAGGCTGCATTCTCTAAAGCCTCGCAGATGTATGTGACTTAGGGAGCCCTGCTCAGACCACAGTCAGCTTGTTCTAACCACACTGGGCTCCAAGTCCAAACCAGCAAGTCATATCTATATCCCTCACTGCTGGAGACCACCACGGGACAAAGACACCAAAGCTGAGTGGGGGTGGGTGGGAATGGAATAGTGGAGCAGGCAGAGACAGATGGTGCCGTGTGTTTTCTTTCCTTAAAGATTAAAAACTTACCCCAGTCAAATGAAAAATCAGGAACAATGCAGGAATTTTAAAGAGCCACCTGACTCAGCGTCTAGGCAGGATATCGATTAGAGAGGCCATTCTTTATTCCTCTGCTATTGTTTGAGACCGGCCTCCCTCATGACAGCAACAGGCGTGGGAACACAGCAGCTTTGGTGTTAAAAAGTGCTTTTATCACTGAGTGGAGCAGAGGGGTCTCTGGGAACCAGAGATGGTTGTGTCTGATAGTCAAGGGAATGCATTCAAACTGAGAACCCCATTCTGGGGTCTCCAAGGTCCTGCTAGCAACTCTGAAGCACACCAACACAATGCAGCACATGCCCAGTCCAGCATTCCTACTGAGCTGTACTCAGGTGAGTTCAGAGAGGTGCAGAAAGAAAACATCTCTGCCTGCTAAAAATTCTTGGACTTCTCCTTGAGCTCCAGCAGCTGCTGTGATGGCTGTTCCTATAGACATACCCACCTTGGTTTTAAACAAGCCAGACTGTGTTCTGCAAACCACGTGGCACAGCACAGAGAACAGGCTCACCACCCATGTCCTTATCTCTCCTCTTGAGCAGGTTTTTTACCCAGCCTGGGCTCCAGCCTGCAGCAGCTACCACAATGATGTCAGTAGGTGAGGGCATCTCCTTCATATTCAACAATACCAAACAACTGTAGGCTGTTACACTTCATTGGCACTTAAACTATCCAGGTGCCTGCAGCCTCTCAACAAGCCAACACAAGTCTCTGCCAAGAGAACTGACAGACAGTCACACAGCTACCTGGAAACTTCAGGCAGGAATAAAGAAAATCTTTGGTTTCTTGGTCATTCTCAGTGTATTAAAAACCACCACGCTTCAGTACCTGAACACTTCTGATTTGATTGAGCAGAGGGCAAACAGTGATCAAGAACCAGGTTTTCAGCCAGCCAAAATATTTCTGGCTGCCCTCAGGGCTGTAGAGTGGGCTTCTGGTTTTATATTCTCTGTAGGTTTGCCACAAAATCTCATATATAACCACTTTATATATGCATATGGTGCTCTTTGTTTCCAACTACCCGTAAGATAAAATAAAAAAATGGAAGTCCTTCAGGTACTGACTGGACAAACACCAACACGT